AGGAGCTCTTTCAAGCTGGGCACCGTTTCATTCACGCCTGTCCAATCAACCAGGAATCAGAACCAGAAATACTTTAATAATCCCAGGGTGAAATGACTTTCGTCACTATAGGACAAGTTTGATATAACACCATTTTATACAATATATATAATGAAGAGGTCCCCGCGCCATCTCACAATCAGTTTGTGGGTCCTTAGCCTGGAAAAGGTTGTAGACCCCTGCCCTAAGAGCTTAAGCCTCACTGGAAGTGACCTATTTCAGCATGTTATCCAATCAGGGCTCTACTTTCTCACTGCTTACTGCCATAGACCGAGGCTCAAACCTCAACAGGGGTTTTTCATACAGGCTGACAGGCAGCGTCCAGCTGCTGCAGAGCGGAGGGGAGATCGTGTACGAGAACAGAATACACAGCTGAATAATTCGCAACATACTCATGAAATCAGGCACATTTAAAACATATTTAATGCAGTTTAATGACTAAATTTATGAAGTTTGACAATTCATATTTTAAAAGTAATTTTACTAAATTTACAGGGGAGGTTCAGTCTCCCTATTTCTCAATGAGAAAGCGCTACTGCTAAAAACACTGCAATAGCCTTTATTCGTGTAGCTAAATAGCAACAGGTGGAGGAGGGACTCAGGAATAGCCATTCATGGTATGTTTTATTGCTTTAATTGAAACTTTCTTTCATGGCAACCATGAAGTCCAACTGATGTCTGAAAAAACCCAACATTGACAGTGTTGTTGTTAGTATTGCAAACTTGTACTCTTTCCCCATCAATAAATCTGTTTAAAAACATAATTGAAAACAGTTGCTAAATACATGTTAGTGCTAAAATCCCCTCTTGCAATGTGTCCTGAAGAAGCGCAATTCTGACTTTGAATGTTTTTTAGGGCAGCCAGATGGCTGCCTTAAAATGACAGAAAAAGGTTTGAAATATATATTTTTGTTGTCACTTAAAATGTTAAATCCATTGTTCTCTAGAGGGACAGCACTGCTCTGCTCATTGTCATGAAAAAGTATTTGATCGTGGATCCCCATCTTTTATTACTACTTGCAAAAACCAATCACCTCTTACTTGGCTGCCTGCAGAGGCTCCACCTGCAGCTTATCTCCCTCTTTCCTTCACACTGAGCAGCTCAGTGGTAAACCCTAAGCATTGACAGGTGGAACTTTGAGAGTAATGTGAAGTTTTCATCTGGCAATGGGAGAATTTCTTGGAGGTGTAATGCGTCAGAATGCATCAATATGCTGCATGCAACGTGACATTTAAAAACACGTACTTGACAGAGTGTGATGAGTTATTGAGGGAAACTGCAGAGAGTGGAAAAAAAAAAGACAGCAGGTAAAGCAGCACCCAGTTGCACTCTCCTCTTTTTCAATGCCTCACGCTTCTGAAGCTTGACGTGGTGCCGTTTAAGCTCCACCAGGCAGTGGAGCCTCACAGTGATCGTCACCTTAAACCTGCAGGATGCATCTTAAACAAAAACTTAAAAGTATTAAAACTTTTGCTACTTTCTTACATGACACAGATTATCTAACCTTTGCTTTTTCCCTGCGTCCGAAAAAAACAACCAAAACCCATCAGAGCCAGAAGAGGGTTTCAGCTCCTCATCACTCTGATACAGTGCAGGTACCAGAACGGCACAGCAGAGTTTGCACATCTATAAAAACAATCAGCCAGACTCTCAGACGGCTTTGATTTACTAACTTATGATTGCTTATTTGAATGTGACCAGCAATTGACTTTGAATGTTTCTTTTTTTTTCTTGACATTATATAATGATGGCATTATTGTGATGTATATGAAAACAATTAGAGCTGCTCAGTGATGCAGTGGGTAGCAATGCTGCCTTGCAGCAGGAAGGTTTCGGGTTTGATTCTTGGCCCGGGGTCTTTCTGCATGGAGTTTGCATGTTCTCCCTGAGCATGCATGGGTTCTCTCCGGGTACTCCTGCTTCCTTCCACAGTCCAAAAACATGACTGTTAGATTAATTGGCTTCTCTAAAATCTCCTTAGGTGTGAGTGTGAATAGTTGTTAGTCCTGTTTGTCTCTGTGTTGCCCTGCGTTGGACTGGCGACCTGTGCAGGGTGTACCCTGTCTCTCGCCCATTGACAGCTGGAGATAGGCACCAGCACCCCTCGCGGGCCCAGCTGGGATAAACGTGACAGAAAATGGATGAATGGATGAAAACAATTCTATTTTTTATACATAACGGTTTCAAATCTGTTGAATTAAACCTGTTAGCAGGATGTCTTTTTTATACTGACTATTTGCTGCAGTGTGAAACTTTTTTCTCTCTATGTTCTTACTAAATTAGGTGATTTATATGACCATGTCACCAGCATTTAATTCTAAATAAAAAAATGAACAGCCAGTCAGAGTGATCAAAGGCGATCGGCATCAGCTGGTGATTGGTGTCGAAATTGGCGGCAAAAATCCTGATCGAAGCATCACTAATGATGCAATGAGTTATATGTAAGGAAGGTCTTTTAAGAATTTAAACAACTTAGTCTCCATCCAAACACACCTCAACAGCTTTGCTCTGTTTGGTATGAAAACCTAGGTGTTCTTGAACTGCCAGAGTTAAGATGACCGTAATGCATGTTAATTAATTGAAATGTGTTTCCTCTGTGGGTTTGTGCAGCTTGGGATCGTGTACCGTGACATCAAATTGGAGAACATCCTTCTAGACAGCGACGGCCATGTGGTGTTGACGGATTTCGGGCTCAGCAAAGAGTTTCTGGAAGAAGATGTATGTGATGCAAGACTCCGGTGCAGAGCTGTTGTGCCGTGCTTGTGTGCAGTAATCGTGTCTTTGGCCTCATTTTGTTGCAGAAAGGAAGGACCTACTCTTTCTGCGGCACCATCGAATACATGGCTCCAGAAATCATCAGGGGAAAGACTGGCCACGGCAAGGTAACCTCTGCTCAGTCACGCAGCTCCTGCTGCCTTCAGGGTGCTCAGTTGTAAAATTAGGTTTTTAAAGATGCTCAATGTTTTCAGACCATAGATGTTGTAGATTGTCTGTTTTCTTTTAACCTACTATTAAAAAAAATCTGCAAACTGATTGAAAGAAAACTTAATTTCTCAAACTAAAAGCAAGTTGAGTTATTAGTTATGATTTAAAGAGCTAGAGCGTCAAACTGGATTTGACTATTTTAAAATGAACAGGCACATCTTCTATGTCGTTTTTGTTTTAAGTAGGTGTTCCCTGTTTGTCTGTTGTTGAAGCAGATGAGCTTCCAGCATTAAGTCCGTTCTGCTTCTGTCCAGCTTCAGCTCTAGTTTGAACCTTGTCATGCTTTTCCTTAAGCTTTCTTTCCGTCTCTCTCTGCTCCGCTGCAGTCAGTAGATTGGTGGAGTCTGGGGATCCTGATGTTTGAGCTGCTGACAGGAGCTTCTCCTTTTACCTTGGAGGGAGAAAGAAACTCTCAGAGCGAGGTGTCAAAGTAAGCTCTGGTTATTTTAAATGAACTTTCACAAGTTAAACCATCTGTTTTCTTCTTAAAAGTCACTGTAGAAAACGGATTGTTGGAGAACGGAGATGTTTCCACCTGTTTCAATGGACAACAGTATAAGGGCTGCAAAGGTGTCATTGTTAAAATCTCCTTACCTTTTCCTCTCAGGCGTATCCTGCGCTGCGATCCACCATTTCCCTCAATGATTGGATCTGTTGCTAAGGACCTGCTGAGGAAGTTACTGGTGAAAGATCCACATAAGAGACTCGGATCGGGACCCAGAGGAGCCGAGGACATCAAAGCACATCCTTTCTTCAAGGTCTCTAACAGCTTAGCTGCCAGTTCCACATTTTATCTATTAGAAATCCGACCGCTGCATTTTTGTTCTGAGAATCTTGTGAACATCTGGATTTTGACATGAAATAATGTATAAACCCTGCATAACTTTCTGCTTCCTCAAAGGGACTGAACTGGTCTGACCTAGCACAGAAGAAGGTAGCGAGTCCATTCAAACCAGAGCTGAAAAATGAACTGGATGTTGGAAACTTTGCTGAGGAGTTTACTGGAATGGATCCGGTATACTCGCCTGCGAGTACGCCTCCCAGCACCGACCGCCTCTTCCAGGTCCGTCCAAATCTTCAGCTACTGTCTGAAAAGTTGGATACAAGCTACGCTGTTTAAACCCGGCCCTCTGTCAGATACATTCCTGTGTTTTTTAGGCCTCCAACATCTAACTTTTCCTATTTTCTTTTTCCAGGGATACTCATTTGTCGCTCCCTCCATTTTGTTCAATAAGAACGCCGTCATGGGAGACTTTTTTGAAACCCAGGTTGGAGCCGAACGCCCAGCTTCTACTTCTGTGCAGCAAAGTGCAATGTTGAAGGTAAGGAATCTTTTTCTGGAAAAGGACACAATCCTTTCAGGGTTTCTTTTTTTATTCCAAAAAAAAAAAAAATTAGTAGAGCATGAATTAAATCACCTGAGCTGGCTCTCACTGATCAGATTAAATGTTTTAGAAAGAAATTAGATAAAAAATAAAAGGAAAAACATGTTTATTGTGTTCCAGAAATTACGAGAAAATGATAGAATATAGTTTAGTTTGTTACACCAAAGCTATGAGAACAGTTGGATGCTGGTATGCAAATAATTTTATCTCATAGGAAGATCAGGTCATGTAGGAATGTTTGATGATGACTCCACACCTGCTTCATGCAAAGCTAAAATCTGGTTTATGTGCTTTATGTTAAGTTGGAGTTCCAACTTTAAAATATTCCTTTGTGAATGTTTTCCAAGTTTTTGAAGAGAAACTGTAGAGGGAGCTAAATATTAGGGTGATGGTCAGGAGGGCCTCGAACCCTGAAAACCAACAATGAGATCAAATCAAATTACCAATGGAAGCATGCCAAAAGTCTCAGCAATTTTAGATTCATTATAATAATAATGTTTTAACTTTGTTGAGAAGTGTATTTTTAAATTTAAAGAGGCTGTTTCTTTTTTTGTTTTTTTAAATTAAAGGTGTAGTGGAGGATGTTCTTTTTTCCAGGTGGATAATCAAAATAAGTGGTCCTCCTAATTGTCAATCATTCTGGTAAAATGTTTACGTAAGGCCGCCCTACGTGCTCATCATATTTTTACTTACTCATATAGCAGAAGAAACGCAAATCTTTTGGAAAGTTAGCTTGTATGAGCGATGCAAACAGCAACTTTTAAACAGAGCGTGCACGAGGAGAAATGGGCTCGTTAATGCTCTTGCACAAGTTTAATTGGCGTGCCCACTCGGAAGCGGGTACCGGGTTGTGCATGTGCTTTTTTTTTAAAGTGGAGACAGCGGGTCTTTTCAAAAATTCGCAAAAATCCTCCACAATACTAATTTCTTTCACTTGATACTTTTACAGTGTTTTATCTATTGAAAGGTACCCATCTTGTTTTATCAACCTTCTTGCATGAATAAATGCTGAATCTACCTGTTTTATAAATACACTTTAGCTTAACTGTTAACATGCTTACTCTCTATTGTGAGCACTGGTTACCATTGCTAACCTTTCTGATAATGTCTCTGTCGTTTGTTAGGAGTCGCAGTTCTTCCAGCACTATGACCTGGATCTTCATGGACCTCCGCTCGGTGAGGGGAGTTTCTCCGTTTGCAGGAAATGCAGACACAAGCAAACTGGCCACGAGTATGCCGTCAAGATCGTTAGCCGCAGGTGAGTGGACATGTGATGAACTGTTGGTATACTGCTCTATGTTGAGCTGCTCTCTAAGCTGTTTCATGACTCAAACGTAAAAGTCACACGTAAAACCTTTTAATGTTTTGTTTATTAGAATGGAGGCTAATACTCAGAGGGAGATTGCTGCCCTGAGGCAGTGTGAAGCTCACCCCAACATTGTCAAGCTCTATGATGTCTACACTGATCAGGTATGGAGGCTCAGGGACTTAAACACTAAAGGGGACATACATTAGAACTACTCTATCTTTAAATAAGGAGTGTAATACCATTAAATCATAAAATGAAAGATAAATAATTCTTCAGGGCTCCTACACAGTCTGGAATTTAAGGAGAAATGGAACAAAAGCTTATATACCTCAATCTCTGTTATTATGTCACAGCACTTTTTCCAAGTGACCATGCTGCAGTGTGCGCCCCCACCCCATCGTTTTTTTTTTCTTCATCCGCACCATTTTTATTCTACTTGTTTATTTTGTCTTATTGCTGCTCTACAATGCTGTTAACACTCGGACTCCCACAATTCTGATCCTACTAACACTCTCACTAGCCGTCAATTTGACAGGTGACATTTTTCCCAATGCAACGCATGAGTTGTGATGATGTCACCAACTGAAATGGTTCTAGTTGCGATATAAACCCATTGTGGATATGTAAACCTTAAAACAAATCTAATACATATTTTTTAAAGGCTGTATTGTATGCTATTATTATTTGTGTTCTAAATTTGTATTAAAAATAAATCCGTAGACTAAGACTGTTTTACTACACAGGTTAAAAGTTTTAAATAATTCTTGAAAAGATTTCGTTGTTAATGCGCTGGCTCCGTAAAAAAAAAAAATTAAAGATCGCAAGATTGCGCTCCAGCACTACCATCCATGTTTACTTCATGTGTTCTTCAGTGAGAACAGAGCACACTCGCTACTTGTGATGTCATTTCGTCCTCTACTGCAGTTGAAGGACACTTGAAAATCACAGTCATGTTGCATATATTTGGAAAGGACCACCAAAAACTGAAAATCTGATTTCAGAAAAAAAAAATTGAACATAATGGTCTGCAGTGCTACTGTAGCCCTGGTGTAAGAGGAGAACCAGAGGGCTGGAGATGAACCTCTCTGGATACGAGGAGAGAGGGAAGCAATGGAGCGGCATAGAACTAAAGGATAGAGACTTTGATTATAAGCTAATGCTACCTTATGCCCAATAAGCCCAGCAGACTGCTATTTAATGGTTGAATATCTAGTCAGATATATATTTATAAATTTATGCTGTGTTATATGTACCAGTCGCTGTGCTCTCTAGCCAATTAGTGACCAGCTTTCTTCTAGGTAACTGAAAACCTAAACCAGAAAGTCGAGCCGCTTTGCAAAGCGCTGAGTTGGTTCTAATGGAAAATAATTGAAGCAGAACTTCTCTGGTGACAAAATAATGAAGAAATAATAAAATAAGGGAACAGATGTCTTTTGTTAGTGCTAGATAATTCTATATCATTGCAGGGAAGTTAAATAGTAATGTGATCTTCAGTTTAGTCACGTATTGGGAGATTTAGGAATAAAAAAATTTAAATTACTGGACAAATGACAAGCCCAGCAACAGCATTAAGATGTCAGTAGAGGCATAAATGTCTCGTTGAATTTCCCTGGAAATCCATAGATAATTTGAATTCTATCACATTTATAAGAGGCTTGATCTATAAGACAGTTCAGTGTCTGATTGGTTGATATCGGTGCGTCGAGCAGCGCAAGTTCAGATTTTGCAACTGGAGCTTTAGCTGCTTATGAACAGTGTGCTTGAAACGTGCTGCAGGACTTCTTGATGTGGTTCAACCATAGATTTTGCATGTAAACCGGCTGCTTCTGCTGCTGAAAGCTCGGGTGATGTAATTGCGGTCTTTAAACAATCAGTTTTTTTTTTCTTTTTTTTTTTTGTTCATGTTTATATGTGTCAGATATTCAGGGATACCTTAAGGGTCTCAGATAACCTGAGCAAAAAGAAAAAACTATTTCAGTGTACAAACGTGTAAAAAAAGCTCCCAAGATAAAAATCCTGTCGTCCCCAAAAGGTAAAATGTTTTTCCACTCTTGTTCGAAAAGCTTTAGCAATAATCTGCTGTGTGAAGAAATGTTTTCCTACTTTTCTTTTCCGGATTGTTTATCTCTCATATCTCCGACCAATTAGATTTCAGTCCCGATTTTAACTAAGCCACCCCTAAAGCCTCAGAGGGACGATTTCCTATGGATCATTGCAGCTTAATAAGAGAGCAGAATTGATAGCTTCATTAAATGTGGTAAAGTGTTGAGGTCCAAGACATGGTCGACTAACAGCATTAAGTTTCCTGTTGTTGTTTTTTTCTTTTTTTTTTTTTTACGTAGTTCTTAGTTTTAATCAAGCAGAACACACATCTAATCTTCTTCTTGTGCTGTCTCTGATGTTCTACATCCTGACTAGGAGTTCTGAATTATTTGTCCCATTGTTTAATGTTTTATCCGACTGGAATTCAGCAGATTAGATTTCACAACAGTTTATTTGTGTTTTTGTTGTATTTTGATCAAAGAATCGTGGGGCTGATACTGTTTACCATCAGTTACATTTGTTTGAAGCTATTTGCAGCTTAAATAAATGCATATTGTGTGGTAATCATCTGTGTGCTGCATCAGAATAATCCTTTATCTTGTCGTGGCATCTCTCCCTCTCTCTCTGTCAGTATCACACGTATTTAGTGATGGAGCTCCTGCAAGGCGGGGAGTTACTGGATAGGATCAAGAAGAAGAAGCTGTTTGGAGAGGCGGAGGCCAGTCAGCTGCTCCAGAGTCTGGTCTCCGCTGTCGGCTTCATGCACGAGGCAGGAGTGGTGCACAGAGACCTGAAACCTGAGGTGGGCCTTTGTTTTAGGAGGAGGGGGCTTTAGCATACACGCCTCGACTGACCTTTTGTTGCACCTCTCAGAACGTGCTGTTCACTGATGAGGGCGAGGACTCCGTGCTGAAGGTCATAGACTTCGGGTTTGCCCGCCTGTGCCCTGCAGGCAGCGCCCCTCTGCAGACGCCCTGCTTCACGCTGCAGTATGCCGCTCCGGAGCTTTTCGAGAGCGCGGGATACGACAAGTCCTGCGACCTCTGGAGTCTCGGGGTCATCTTGGTGATTGAAGCTGCATCTCCTGGTTATGTGGTACATGTGGGGCTGACAGCAGTGCTAATGACTCTCTGTGTGTGTCCTACAGTACACCATGCTGTCAGGCCAGGTGCCGTTTCAGAGCGAGCAGCGTGGAATGACCTCATCCTACGCTGTAGACATCATGCAGAAAATAAAGGAGGGGGATTTCTCATTGGACGGGGAGGCGTGGAAAGGTGTATCAGAGGATGCCAAAGAGCTGGTTAAAGGTTCGGGCCGTTAAGCAGACTTTTCTAACCATGATGGTTGTTAATTTATAAAGGACAACGTGTTGCTTAAACATGCTTTAATGTTCTGGTCTGAAGGACTTCTGACTGTGGATCCAGAGAGACGCCTGAAACTCTCCGACCTGAAGGAGAACAGCTGGCTGCAGGGAGAAGCTTCCATGTCCACCACTCCTCTGTGCACCCCGGATGTGTTAGAGTCCAGCGGGCCGACAGTCCGCACCTATGTCAATGCAACATACCAGGTAACGGCTCGGCACATTGGATTTAACCTAAAATAGAACAAACATGGGGCATGAAAGGGATTTCTATCACTATAAACCTTTGTGTGTCGGGATAATTTTACTGAAACCAAGTAGCGTTTTAACAAGACAGCATCTTTAAAGTGGAGCATTCGTTTGCATTAAACCGTCCTGAGTCTTAGTACCAGCTTTAGCTACAAACTCAGTTCAAGATATAAATACAGCATTTAAAAATTAAATACACGGTTCAGTTCCTCATCGTCTGCTTAAGTCTTGCTGGGAGGTCTCTGAATATTCTGTGTTTTCAATAGTTTCCACTTTATGTGCATTTAGATTTGCATTATAGTTCAATTATTAAATATTTACACTGTAAAAAGGTGATATTAAAATGACCATATATAGCTGTGGCTGACTTTAAAACTGTATTTAATCTCCTTACAATTTGCTCCTGGTCTCTGGGTAATGAGTGATATAAAAACAGTCTGTCTTCTGTCATCAATGTGCCAAACCAGGCGTTCAACCGATGCAAGAGAGAGGGCTTTTTCCTGAAGAGCGTCGACAACGCTCCCCTCGCGAAGCGACGCAAGCTTAAGATGACGAGCACAGGCGTGGAGACCCGATGGAGTTCCTCCTCCTCCTCGTCCTCTTCCTCCACCTCCTCCTCGGCATCCAAAGAGCAGAACAAGCAGACTGTGACCCCGAAGCACAGCAAGCCCAAATGATGCAGCGAGAGAGCAACACTGAAAAGTAAAAGGTGTATCCTAACACCGAGGACATTATGTCCGCCACTGGGTCGTTTTCCTTAAAAACAAAACAAAACAAAAACAAACCTTCAGTGAGGGATTGAAAAACTGGTGCGGGTACAAAGAAAGTTTTAATGCAAAAATATTTTCATTCCTTCTGCCGCACTCTACTCAAACCAAACGTGTATTTTTCTTGAAAAGAGAAGACGTGCCCTTGAAGATTTGAATTTCCTATTCAGTATTTTTATTTTTTTTTTCACAGCCTAATCAGTTTATCCTCACTGTGGCTACAGAACAGTGCCTGGTTGGAGGAGGAGGAAAAGGGAAAAAACGAGCCATTAATGAGCAGAAGCCATAAACGCAGCAAAAACAGCAAATCTGTGAACAAGAAACAAGCAAACAGACCTTCTCACCAATGATTGAATCATTTAAAGCGGTCAGAGATGGAGAGTTGGAGTGAACTAAATGGCTCCACCACATGATGGCGCTCTGCTCAGTAGATATGAAAGTTTAAAGTTTGTTGGGGAAATCTGAGCTGTTTGCACTATCAGCTGATGTATGTAAATGATCAAATTATGAGAGAAATATGAGAACTGACTGCAGGGAGAACAGAGGGATTTATTTAGGGGATTTTTGTGTCTCTCAGATTTTAGCCCTAATACACGACGAGTTCGCCTGAATTAGATTTTGTTGGAAGCAGTTACATCAGTTTGGTTATTTTCCTCAGAAAGGTGCTGCTCTTCCATTACACTACCAGCTCCCACCTAAATCACCTGTGGAGCTCATGTCTCAACTGACTGAACTCTATGGAAGGTTTTAATCACAAGTGGAACTGCAGATGTTTAGGAGTAGCAGCTGTATAGATTCAAACGCTTACTTCTTTAGGCCTGATCTGCTGATTCCCTTCATGCTGTCTTCTATATTCTGGTTTCTCCAGTTGATGAAAGATAAGCTTTACTGTTGAGAGCTGAATGGTTTGGTGATTTGGACCCATTTTACTCATTTTTGCAGCATCCAGCTGGCCTCCGATCAGTGCCATATCGGTCTCCTACTTGAATTTGACTGTTTTTTAGAATTCGACTTTATAATTTTCTCTCTTTTTTCCTGAAATGGTTTTAGAACATTGTACAAAAAAGCGTCTCATTCGGTGAAAGTAATGCACATACCCTTTGTTTTAATCAAATGAACATTTAATGACTTATTGTTTAGCAGCAATCTGAAAGGTATATTGTCTTTTTTTATCGGACTTCTTAAATGTTGCACAGTCAGTTCAGCAATTAAGCACATTTCAGCTTTAATGGTGATTTTTGCTGATATTTATTATGTCCTTGATTTGTAATGCTGTGGTTGTGGGTTTATCATGATTAGGCTCTTATTGAGTTCCAGCCCTCTGTGTGTGTGTGTGTGTGTGTGTGTGTGTGTGTGTGTGTGGGTGTGTGTGTGAGACATACTGAGATGTTTGATGATCCGTCGTTCTGATATTTTTGTGCCAGATGAAGCATTATTGCAACTTTGCTGTATTATTTTCTGTGGTGTTTCCCACTGATGTTTTTTTTTTTTTATTGAATCGATTGCTCGTTGATGTTTTTAACTTCAAAACTTGCTTTTATTGGTGTTTGATATTCTTCTCTTGTTGGTGTTTTTTTCCTTTTCTTTACCTTCTTTTACATCTCGTTATGTTTTTAGCTTTGCTATTTTACTGCCTCTGTCAATGTCCTAACTGGGAAATTTATCTTTTGCACCAAGATCTGTATTTTTGTTTTATTTGGTGGGTGCAAAATAAATATAACTTTGAAATATGCGGTTTTGTCTTTTTTTAAGTTTCAGTCCAGTATTTATTTATTTCAATTCAGTTCAAATATATATGCACTACTCAAAAAAATTAAAGGAACACTTTGTAATCAGAGTATAGCATCAAGTTAATCAAACTTCTGGGATATTGATTTGGTCAGGTAAGTAGCAGAGGGGATTGTTAATCAGTTTCAGCTGATTTGGTGTTAATGAAATTAACAACAGGTGCACTACAGGGGCAACAACAAGAAGACCATCAAAACAGGAATGGTTTTACAGGTGGAGGCCACTGACATTTTTCCCCCCCCCAACCTTTCCGAACCCTTTTCAACAAGTTTGGAATTGGCCAGGGGCAACGGCAACAACGGTAACAAGAAGCCCCAACCGGAACCCAAAAAAGGTTCCACAGGCAGTCCAACTCCTCCAGGATGACACATCAATACATGCCACTGCCAGCAGGTTTGCTGTGTCTCCCAGCACAATCTCAAGAGCATGAAGGAGATTCTAGAGACAGGCAGGTACTCCAGGAGAGCTGGACAGGGCAGTAGCAGGTCTACAACCCATCAGCAGGACCGGTATCTGCTCCTTTGTGCAAGGAGGAGCAGGAGGAGCACTGCCAGAGCCCTACAAAATGACCTCCAGCAGGCCACTGGTGTGAATGTCTCTGACCAAACAATTAGAAACAGACTTCACGAGGGTGGCCTGAGGGTCCTACGTCCTGTAGTGGGCCCTGTGCTCACTGCCCGGCACCATGAAGCTCGACTGGCATTTGCCACACAACACCAGAATTAGCAAGTCGGCCACTGGCGCCCTGTGCTTTTCACAGTTGAGAGCAGGTTCACCCTGAGCACATGTGACAGACATGAAAGGGTCTGGAGAAGCCGTGGAGAACGTTATGCTGCCTGTAACATCGTTTAGCATGACCGGTTTGGTGGTGGGTCAGGGATGGTCTGGGGAGGCATATCCATGGAGGGAAGCACAGACCTATACAGGCTAGACAACGGCACCCTGACTGCCATTAGGTATCAGGATGAAATCCTTGCACCCATTGTCAGACCCTATGCTGGTCCAGTGGCTCCTGGGTTCCTCCTGGTGTACAGCAATGCCCGGCCTCATGTGGCGAGAGTATGCAGGCAGTTCCTGAAGGATGAAGAAATTGATACCATTGATTGGCCCCAACGCTCGCCTGACCTAAATCCAATAGAACACCTCTGGGACATTATGTTTCGTTCCATCCAACGCCGCTAGGTTGATCCTCAGACTGTCCAGGAGCTCAGTGATGCCCTGGTCCAGATCTGGGAGGAGATACCCCAGGACGCCATCCGTCGTCTCATTAGGAGCCCGACGTTGTCAGGCATGCATACACGCACGTAGGGGCCATACAAATTACTGAATACCATTTTCAGTTGCTGCAATGAAATTTCAGCAAAATGGACTAGGCTGCCGCATCATTTTTTCATTGTAATTTTTGGGGTGTCTTTGAATTCAACCCTCTGTAGGTTGATGATTTTCATTTCTATCAAATGATGTGGCATCAGTTCATATCCGTATAAATAAACAGCATGATTTTTTTTTTTTTTTGCCCCATTGAGATCTGATGTGTTTTCAGTGTTCCTTTAATTTTTTTGAGCAGTGTATATAGTGCCAATTCACAGCACGTCATCTCAAGGCACAATTCAACCAGATCATACAGTAAAATTGATTCAAAGTTTTCTATCTATGCAAAACCAGTTGATTGGATCGACTCATTGGCTTAAAAGCAGTCACCAAGCATGCATGTAGCGATAGTGCAGAGGAAAAACTCCCTATTAACAGGAAGAAATCTCCAGCAGAACCAGGCCGACTGGGGTTCAAGGAGACGGGAGCAGAGATCCAAAAGGCAACCGTCAACAAGCTCCACACACGGCCCCGTCCAAATTATGTGGTCTGCCTCGTTACCGGGGGTAAAGGAGCATGACATAAATTAATTTCCTTATTATTACATTTTTAATTCCAACAAAAATGAGAAATTTGTAGGAATAAACTCAATTTGACCATTTTGATTTTTATATTCTAATAGACAGCTTTTTCTATGGACGGTTTAATCCAAAGTTATTAATATTAAATTATTCCACAGAATAAATTCCTCTCAGCATATGATAGATGTCTCTCAAAATGTAAAAACATTTGTAAACAAGTATATGTTTTTTAGAAAACAGTAAGTGCAAAAATAAAATGTTTTGTACTGCTTAAACGACAAAAATGGCTGGCATTGCAGTATTTAAATATTGTAAACGCTGCCAGCTCTATTTAAATCGTTTGTTTTTTAAAGCTGAGCTCTGAGTCTTTGAGGTTAGAGGCTCTCATCACCTTTATCTTAAAACGCCTGTTCCGATTCTCTGTCAGATTGATGTTCTGTCAGAAGATGGTGGTGAAATTTACAAAGATGACCTTAAATCAAAGTTACTAGGAGTAGTTTCTGTTAAAGGCAAATGCTCCTAAATCAGAGTGAATCCTCCATTTCCTTTTGTCTTTGTTAGAACCAAAGTATTTAACAGCAATAGGAAAACGTTTTGGCACCCTGACTCTTTTTTTTATAAACTATTATTTCTTCCTGTTAACACCCTGTGAAGGTTGGGCACCGTCTGATGACATCAACTCCAGGCCAAAAACCACCCACAGTCACATTAGGGAGTGGCTGTATGTATAGCATCACATGATGTATTCAATAAGGATCGCTACTTTCTGAACTTAGGCAGCTCATTTGTTTCCTGTCTTTTTCTACTGGATTAACTAATTAATCCAGGTGTGTCTAACCTCAGTGACCATGGCCACACCTGGATTAATAAGTTCATCCAGTAATGAAAGATAGGAAACAAACACGCTGCAGGAAGTAGTGGAGCTGTGCATGGAGCCCATTGTTTCTGTTAAATATATCATAAAAGAAATAAAAACAGTGATGTCTGGTACATACATTTAGGCACTTTGTCATTTTATTAATTCAAATACCTTTAGCACTAATTATTGGAACACTACATTTGTCTGGTGAGATCATTGGCCCTTTACACGCAGGTGAATGCAATCATGGGAAAGGGTTTTTAAGTTGGCCAATTGTAAGTTTTTCTCCTGAAGTGAAAAATTGGGAGAACTCAAAACACTACAAATGACATGAAAGCAAAGATTGTTCAGCATCAGGATTTAGGAGAAGGATAAAAAAGCTATCCGATATTTCAGCTGTCGGTTTGCACTGCGAGGAACATGGAAGACCACAGGTACAGTTAAAGAGAGGCGGAGGAGAAGATTGACAAGAAACCCAAAGGACTGATCTGTGATGTCACTTCCTGTTGATTTTTTTCATTTTAGGCTTTTTGAAACCAAACCTTGTTCTACACAATATATACATCTAATAGTTAATCTCTGATGTGTGGCATTCATTTGAGAAAAACGTATTCTGGTTTATTGACCAGACAGATGCGCTCTTTCCTGTTTTTTTTTTTTTTTTTAGACCCCCATCCCCCAGTTTTTTTTTTTTTTTTTAGACCCCCAATTTATTA